TAATAGCAGATTATGTTGAGAATCATACGAAATCCATAAATACAGACCGCGTTGGAAGAAAAGAGTCTTCCCAAAGATGAAAATTCAGCTAAAGGGAAGGAGATTTGAGACGATAGAAGAGATTCAGGCAGAATCGCAGATGGTGCTTGACAGGCTGACAAAGAAAGATTTCCAGGGATGCTTCCAGGCTTGGCAGCGGCGCTGGGATCGTTGTGTTCACTCCCAGGGGAACTACTTCGAGGGTGATGGATGAATTTAATACCTGAGATAAGTGTACGGGTTTTTATACGCGCAGTCTGGAAACTTTCCGATCGCACCTCGTATATGAACAGGTCCCAGTCCGAGAAAAGGATGGAAGGATCCTGTTCATATGGACCTGTCGTCAGACAGAACACTAAATAAATAATTTAGATGTAGATGTAAAATATTTTGTTACGCGGTCACAAAATATACACGCAGGCTGGTCTGTAACACGTTAACACGTTTGTTACATTGATTAAAACACAATTTAAGTTATAGTTTTAAACATTTTGCTATAGTTTGTAGTAATTCATGGAAATGTCTGTAGAGGGCAAACAAAACACTGCTAAAGTAGTTTTAGGTTTTCTGCACATTGCTTCCGGTCATCTTAAAATCTTGACGTCAATATACTGAGCTACTTTGGCCATCCCTGAGTTCACGGATTAATCCATGTGACTTTTTCTGGTGGGTTTTCATGAGGGAGAGGCTTCTGTCAAAGAAACGAGGTAATCCAATTGATGTAGGAACCATGATTGTCTAGTTTAGCAGAAAAAATTCCGAATAAGTGTCTTCGTGTCTTAACGAGAGTTGATCTATGTCTAGCAGAAGTTTTTCGACAAAATCGTGATCAAACTAAACACAAGCTTAAATGAATGCATTTATAAAAAAAAAAATATAACTGCTCTTTCATAATAGTTTATACTAATTTGTTTGCTTTTGGAATATTTTAACGAGTTAATAAGATTTTAATCTGAATGTGTCGGTATCTTTCCTCAAACGTAACATAAGCTGACTCAACGGTAATTTTTTCAACGATAAGAAGAATGTATTTCTGTAGTCTAACATGTAAATTACATTCCCTTTTATCGTTACATTACGACTAGTATATGGGAGATAATGCTCTGGACAGGGTCCGGTGGAGGGCTTTGGTTAATTCGGTGATGAACCTTCGGGTTCCGTAAGCCATCTAGTTGGTTGGGTCCACTATTTAGGAAGCCTGAGGGGAAGAGATCTCTGGGGAGACCTAGACGTAGATGGGAGGATAATCTCAGGCGGGATCTATGGGAGATATGAGTTGAAGGAGACTGGAGTTTATTGGCCCAGGTCAGGGTCCGGTGGAGGGCTTTGGTTAATTCGGTGATGAACCTTTGTGTTCGCTAAGCCATCTAATTAGTTATATGGAAGATAATATTAAAAAGGATGTCATAGGACAGGGTTAGTAGGTGTGGAATAGATCTATGTGGCTCAGAAAATGAATCGATGAGGCAGGCTGTTGTGAACATGGTAATGAACGTTTTGTTTCCATAAAAGGCGTACTGTTAATTTGACATAAAGGACACTTCTCCACGGAGTTCATTATTTAGGCTAGTAAGGGCCTTGAGATTGCAATTTTATTACGGAATTTAAAGTTGTGTGTTAGTGGTCTTACGTCTTCAGTTATAAAACTATAAATTTGTCTGTTTGTCTTGCATGAGTGAAACTTTGCCTTTCACCCTGAAATAATAAAAAATCAAGGGTCAGGATTTAATTTGTACATAACAGAAATGTTTTAACGAGGGTATGAACAATATTTCACAGAGTTACATGAAATTTTCATGCACCTTTGTTAGCGTTCTTAATGAACACGTATGAAGAGAGTGGGACAAATGAGTAATGCACGAGCATTTAAATTAGGAAGACTAAAAAATAAATACGTGTAGATTCAAATCAGCTGTTATGTTTAGAGATTATCTTCAGAATTTTAATTTCGCTAGGATTTTTAGGCGTGGCCTTCCTTCATTTGATTTTATTCGTTTATTTAACATTTACGTGAAGTTTATCAGCAATCAACGAACGCGAAAGGTCTTGTATGATCCCAGTAAATAATCTTACAGTTCCATAAAAGTGGAAAACTTATTAACTAACGCAGTGATTATTAACTTCTCAAGAAAAACTCTGTTACAAAGAAGTCGGTTATGTAGGCTTACACACACTCACAATCTCTCTCTCTTTCTCTCTGACTCTAGGACTGTACGTAATCAGAATAAAAATTAACGACAATAAATGTTTCGGATTGGATTTAAACCTCTAAGTTTTTGTACAGCGTATATCTCACTTTTCAAGCACTGTATGGCATTTTGGTTGAGTTTGGAATACCAAAGAAACTTTTTAGGTTAATTAAAATGTGTATGTACGGGGTATCTAATAGAATTCGTATACGCAAACTTCTGTCGAATCCGTACCCAGTGCGCCATGGCCTAAGACAAAGGGGTGATTTTTTTAATTCTGCTCTAGAACATGTCAAAAAGGGCTCGAATTGAATGGTCTGCACCAGGTATTTGAAGAAAGCAGAAACTCTCCTACAGACTAGCAAGGAAAGAGATCTAGAAGTAAATGTAGGCAAAACGAAATACATGAGCGTATTACGGGATGAACATCACCAACAAGCGCGGAGCGTAATTATAAGTAACACATCATTTGAAAATGTTTAAAAATTTAAGTATCTGAGAACAAAAGTAACAAATAGAAATGAGGTCCATGATTAAATTAAGAGTCTCGGGTTCGATTCCCGGCGGTGCCCGAATTTATAACTTGTGTTGGGCAAGGCCGTGGTCTAGGCAACACGGAGTTTTCCTCCGTGGCATCCCAACAATTACCCCATTCACACACAGAAGAAGGCAATGCCAAACCACTTCTGGATCATCTGCCAAAACGTATATGAACAGGTCCCAGTCCAAGAATAGTATCTACATACGAGCATAACCCATAAGAACATTGTAATCTTCACTGCCGTGAGAATCTCAAATTATGCACAATTATTCTTGTATGTGATTTAAAATTTTCAGACGAAAGAAATTAAAGTCTTAGATTCTTCACTTGCATTGGTAATGGATGAAGGGAGATGTTAAAATCTCAGCCCGGGGATAGAACAGCAGACCGATGGCTGGTTATAAGAGCGTTTTTAAGTCCTGCATCTAAATTCAGTCACTCCAAGGCCGTCTGTATATCTTTGTTCATTTAACGACACTGTATGTATTACGTAGATTATATATTTTCAAATGACGAAAATGATTATAAATCATGTACTGTGGCGAAATTGCCACGGTGGTCTAGCGGTTAGAACGCTGGCCTTGTAATCCTGGGGTCTCGGGTTCGATTCCCGGTGGTGCCCGAATTTATAACTTGTGTTGGGCAAGGCCGTGGCCTAGGCAACACGGAGTTTTCCTCATTGGCATCCCAACAATTACTCCATTCACGCACAGAAGAAGGCAATGGCAAACCGCTTCTGGATCATCTGCCAAGAACGTATATGAACAGGTCCCAGTCCGAGAAAAGGATGGAAGGATCCTGTTCATATGGACCTGTCGTCAGACAGAACACTAAATAAATAAATAAATAAATATAATACATTCAGGAAACTCTTGTTTTTATCGAATTCAAAACTTATCATCTCGTTTGCTATCCAATACATTAAAGATCGGGATATATAAAACAATAATTTTGCCTGTTGTCTTGTATGGTTGTGAAACATGGCCTCTTACCTTCGAGAAAGAACTTAGATTACAAGTGTTTGAAAACAGGGTGCTCAAGAGGCTAATTAAACCAAGGAGGGATAAAATAAGTGAGGAATTTAGAATACTGCATAATATGAAGCTGCGTGAATTGCATGGGTCACCTAGCACAGTGAAGATAGTGAAATCTAGGAGGCTCCGATGGGCTGGATATGCAGCACGCATTGGGGGGACAAAGGGGCGCACACAAGGTTTTTATTGGGAATCCTTCTGGTAAACGACCACTGGGCAGACCAAGAAGGAGATGGGAGAATAACATCAAAATGAATCTTAGGAAGGTGGCTGTGAGGATGGCAAATCAATGGAGTTGGCTCAGGATCGTCACCAGTCACGTGAATACAGAAACACTGTGATATGGTAGTCAACTGCAACAGTTTATTTTGGTTAAAGATTATATTTTCTAATTCTTAGAATATTTAGCAACGCTGTTTCAGATACAGACGTCATACAGGAAAAGATTGTGGTTAGGCGGTCATGAATAGTGAGTACTAATGCTGTGTCAAAACAGTATCCCCGGAATGTTATTTGGGAGACCGGAAAAATATCTACGATGAAATCAGGATATTCGATAACCTGTCCTAGATTAGAATTTGATATATGCATAAAATTAGCGTAAAGAGTTATTGTTACAAGGTTAACATTATACGTCTGTATTAATAAAGCTATTATTCTGCTTAAACAACCACCATATTTGCTTACTATTTCGAAATATAATTTTATGTTTTTGGAAAACATAATGACGTTTCTAATTTTACAATTAGATCCATGGATCTATATTATTTTTATATAAACACATTTTAATTAAAATTTTATTATACCAAGAAAGAACAATAACATAGATACATTTAGTTTTACAAATTAATTAAATTGGTGTTAAGTTTAATTTTAAGCTGTGTTAGTACTAGCTGGTTGAACTTAAATAAAATATATTGATACGCACATGTACCAGCGCGCAATACATCACGTGGAATTGTCTGTCTTTATAGCTGAATATTTTAGTTTAGTATTAATAAATATTCATTATATTACCTTTCGAAACATTTATCATTATAAGATGCACTGCTTTTGCAATTTAAAATGCACGATACTCATAGATTGGTTAGTCTTGGTAGTGCAACGTCTTTGATACTGGGGCTCTGAAGTTCGGAATCGATTCTGACTCAACTGCGCAAGTCCACTCACTGCAGCCAATCCTCTTCCAGGCTTCGTTCATTCCCCATCTGGACTGCGAAGCTTGAACGTTTGGACGGTCGGTAAATATTTTGTCCCTCGTAACTTGAGTTCATCGTAAAGAAACTTCTTGTTTTCAGTTTTATTATTTACGTGCGCGTAAGATGGGGACTTTTAAGTGTGATATTTCTCAAACGTTTGAGAAGTGGGCATCAAAACGCTTAGTCCATTTCCTGTTGTTTTAAACTAGCGATTCCTGGCGGTATTTTTATAGACTAACCTAAACTTTTTCTTTCGTGTGTTATCTTTGTCCGTCGTCATTTCTGTTGTGCGCAACCGTGAGAAAGTACTGGTTATATCATTTTAATTGATCATAAGTTTTAAAATATTTTTCCTCTTTAGTTCTGAAAGACGTTGTGGTTGATTGAAGTGAACATCATACATGCAGTGCTGAAATGTAAGTCTGAACATTAGATATCATAAAGACGGTGCATTGTAGAAACTACTGGAACACGTCTTTCTTCTAACGGAATGAATAGCAGTGTGTATAGTTTGAAGAAACTCCTGGCCGGCGCTGTGGAGCCCAGAACATTCGTCCAGCTTTAAAGTAAGTTGAACTTATTTTAAGTGTAAAAATAAATTATGAACTAGGTCTATGAGTTTGTCTGTGATGGTTCATGTACCTTGTAGGGTCTTCTGAGTGTAATATGCTACCGTGTCGAAGTAAATAGGTTATTAATGAATTTCTGACGTGTGTTAGGCAGTTGATCCTTGCTTCAAGGACACTACAAGAATTTTCTGTTCGTGTTTAAAAAGCAAACTTTACCCAGTTATATCATTAACACTTAATTCATTTTATTAAACAAAATTTGCTATAACATGCGAGACGTAAGTTCGTTAGTTTGTTTTCCATTATCTTCGAATATTTTAGACGAGACCAAGTATATCACAGACAGCTTTGTGTTAAATATATACTGAATTACTTTTATAAATTTGATGTAGGTGCGAATAATGCATTTCTGAAATGTTTAAGGTACTTTAAAACCTAGTATTTATTTTAACCACAAATTTTGCGTAGTGTGTAGAAGTTGAATGGAGCATTATATCTTGTTTAACAAACCAAAGAAGAGTGGTTGCTATGTGTATCATATGCTTTAACATTTAATTACTCTGTACTTTACGGGAACAGTGTTATTTATTATTGGCATTATTATTTGTACGAATTTCAGACGAAGCAATTATTGCATCCGCGTTAAACATTTAATTCTTGTAATGGAGACTAGTGTTTTCTTTATACAAACTAAGTCTGTAAATACTATTTGTCGAATTTTGTTCGTCTGCTCTTGTATTGCTTTCCCTCTCTGTTCCTATGATTCGTGCTTGCAAGGTTTAATAACAGAACACTTCTAAATTTTGATGACAGAAGTCTAGTGTCGGGATAAAAGAACACACCCTTCAATCTTTGTAAATTAATGACTTTATTTTAATTATTTCTCGGAATATTTTAACGTCATTTAGGTGTAACATTTGCAATTAAATATATTTGGCTTGTATTGATTCACATACAAACAATTCTTCCCTAAATGTAATCATTTCTGAACATTGCACACACATGTGTTTTGACTTGAGATTTAAATATTGACTTTTGTAAGCTAAAAGTCTTCGTAGAGAAGAATTTGAAGGCCTGTACTTTAGTTATTACACATTTTTCTTATATTAAAACATTTTAGATTTAACATAGTCCCTTTTCACCGCACGCACTCTACTTTGGGTTCAAGAATCTGAATATTATATTATTATGTACTTTATTATATATATTATAAATAAATTAATTGAATTATATTATATTAAAATTGTATTTCATATAAATTGATGAAATACTTCCATATCAATACAATATTTAAATGTAACATTGATTTTAAACACAAATTATTTTAAAATATAATTATGTATTATGAATACAGACAAAAGAAGATACTTAATCTAAATTGGCTACTTCGTTATAATTTGTGTCATTTGGTATAATCCTGATTTTTAATGTCAATATATGAAAATGAATATTATTTTTAATGACTTAAAATGCTCTAAATATTATATAAATTACGTAATGAATTTTTATATATTAACATTAATAATTACTTGTTATTTAGACAGTGTAAAGTAGTTCAGAAAAACCGTGTTTATGATAAAAATGTTATGCTGGAAACATTTCATATCGTAGTTTAGTGTTTACAGAAAATGACTGATATTATTGAACATATAACCATTTTTGATAAATTAATTTCCTAAAATTTCTGCCAGCAGACGAAAACCTAGCGTCTTATGGTCTACTTTTTCCTAGTGGATGATTTTATGGATTGTTTCATTGCGTACGACTATATCGTGGTTTAAACATTAAGTTTCTGTTCAAAACATATTGGTAGCTAATAAGCCTATTTATTTTAGTATTGTTTTAAATTTGAGTTTAAAATTATTGGAAGGGAATACGAAAAAAGGAGAAAAATGATACATATAAGAAAAGAATAAATTATTCCGCGTTGAATTTTAACGGTAATTTTAATACGTATAGTTGATAACCAGTTAATAGATCATTCAAAATGTGGCAGAATTTAAATATTTCGGAAATACAATAAGAGATCAAAATTGCTTTTACGAAGAAACGAATAATTTAAATTATGTAATTGTCGGTATCATTTGGTTCAAAATATTTTGCCTTTTAGTCTATTTAAAACTAAATGATGACTTTACCGACATTTTTGTAAGTTATGTACCCCTTTCATCCTGAATGACGAAAAGAGATTGAGGGTATATGGATCAAGGTTCTGAGAAAAATATTCTAACGAGAAAGATACGAATTGATATGAGATTATAATAAATTCTTCATTAAGCCACCTTACACGGCTTAGCCCGAGAAGAATTTATTACACTTAGTCGCCGTGAAAGCTTTAGATCATATATGATATGAGATAGTCCAAAATTATAAGATGAGGTTTTCGTTATCAAATGTTTTTAAAATGATCAAATCAAGTTGGACTGGGAATGTAGTACGTATGAGGAGATGAGAAAGAATATTACATTTTTATCGGAAATTCTGAACAGAGGTATAGGCATTGGAGGATAATATTAAAACGGACCTTAAAGAAACTGTTTTGTAGATTGGATTTATTTGCCTCGTAATAGGATTTGCTGTTTGTCTTTTGTGAAGAAAGATGATCTTGTGTGTCTATGAGCGGTACAGAATTCATGTCTAGCCGACTCACTCTTGAAGTTTCTTAAGAATGGCTGTCTTCCAGGGAGTCAGAGAAGGAAGTTAATCTTTCTCAATCCTATAGAAGTATTTGAGAGGTCCATTTTCTTAACATCGGTATTGAATTTATTTACAGAACTTTTAATATGCAGATCATTGTAAAAATAAAATAAATTTAAGATCACCGTAATAATCAAGTGGTAACCATATGTACCACCAACAAAAAGGAATTATGTCTTTTGTCACAGAGTATTTATATGGTTTTATACTGGTTTTATAATAAACGATGATTATTTTGTTAAACAGCGTTAACCAACTGATGGTTATAATGGTGGCTTGTGGTGTTTTCTTTGCGGTACGGACTGAATTCTTAAAATATTATGTAAACGAGCGTCATTGCACTGTATGCCTGTTGTACAGTCTTCCCAGTGCTGATATCGAAGTTCAGCCCTAAAATAGTCCCCATGTCAACATAAAAACTTTTACTAAACGCCTACCTTCCAAGGCTAATATAAAAATTTAAAATTGGGTTTTGAACATCAGTAAGACCCTAACCAACTTCTCCCGTAATCCATTTCGTATCCCACCTTTTCCAATTCCAAATGTCTTACCTTTAAGAATCTATCTGTATTAGGAGGACGAACGGGCACTGCCTGGGGATCTTAGTCGCTGCAAATCAAAATTTATGTCCCTCCCTGACTTAAAAACAGTTGTGCCTACGCCACACCCCACTTTCTATTCTCTCTACTGTTCTTCTGATTCAAAAGTCAATAGAGTTAAAATTAAATTAATATAAACTTCAGAAAATAAGAAACAATTATAAACGTCTTCATGATATAATTATGTGTAATTTTATAGTATTGAGGCCTGAGATTGATCTTTAGTCACTATTATTATCTTTAGTCGGTTCTTCGTCTCACGTTCTAATACATTTTTTGGAAGGCGTGAGACGTATGAAGGAGATAATTTCACTTGGTCTTCCAATTATATAATCCAAGATACACTATTATAATGAATTATATAAATTTTATTCAAGGATTTTGTAGGGGGCAGTGATAAAGTAATCGAATTTTTCCTCGAGGACACCCTTGCCTCATCGGAACCCCGGAGTTCTCCAGGAAACACTTTGAGAATTAATGTCCTATA